ATGTTTATTTATTTGAAAAACATACATTTCCTAAATTTAAGACGCGGGAATAACTTAAGTATATCTCGTCACCATTCAGCACTATTCCAAAGATCTTTCTCATATAACGCTGTGAAATTATACAGAGTGTTAGGGAAATAATATTCGTAACCTTAAGAGGTGATTTCTTGTATTGTTCTAAGCAAACAAGTTCATTATAACCTATGTCCGAAATGTCATGAAATAAATTAATTTTGCACCTTAATAATTTAATTTCATATGCCTAATAGCGTAAAATGCATCACTATATGTATTTATTAATCAAATGTCTCAAACAAAATAATTTTTAAAGTAAATTTTTAAGTAAATATAATGTACTGAAAGCGTTATTAAATAAAAAATATTAGCCGCAAAAAATTGCATAAAAGTATTCAATAATTCAAGGCATATTTTCAACAAAAATATCATACAAACGTAAACAATTCGATGAATCAGTTGCAGTTGCGTTGCGGCGTTGCTAAATGTTTGAGAAAATTTTATTATTTACGACTCACTTTCCGCGAAAATGATTGATTTTTGGACATGAGTAATAATGAACTTTTTTACTTAGAATAATGCAAGGAATCACCTCTTGAAGTTACGACTATCATTTCCCTAACACCCTGTATAATCAGGAGAATGAGATAAAAAAATACGCAGGATTATTATTTAAAAAGAACATTAGCCTCATGCTACTAGCAGAATGATATAGCTAGTTTCGCGTTTACATTATTCTCCGAATTTCTGAATAATTTACTTTCTTAACAGGGTTGGGAGTAAGAGTTGCCATTGGCTAAATTTTACCTCAATATAGCCAGAATTACTATTATTATTATTATTTGAAGTCTGAAAACACTAAAAGACCACGAAGAGTATTTTGGGCTTAGTTTTTTATAGCACGAACATAGCGGAAGACTACAAGAGACATTCTAACGAGTTTTTAGGCTTTCAGTTTTGCTGCTTCGTTATAATCTTTCGTATTTCGAATTTGCGCAGTAGCGACGTAATCCTTCGTTATTCGTTATCGAAATACGAAAGCTCGCCGGAATTTGAAAAGCTGGATAAGCTTAATTAACGTAGTTTCAAGCTACTTGGCATGACTGTCAGTATAATACTGTTGAATTACCACAGTTCAGTTCAGGTCATACAAATTTTTTTTGGACGTCATTCGTTATTTGCTGTCACTATCAAAAATCGCACAATGAACGGCTCAGCGATGCGCTATTTTTTTTTTAACTAAAAACTCTCTATTTTCATGCCGAGTCAATGTGGAAAAACCTTACACGGAATTATGGAAACTGGAAATTCCAAAAGCGTTGTTTAAACATTTTTTGTCATGCAATTAAATCTTCCTGATAACATTCTATAATACCCTCTAATTTGAAACGTCTCTCTTAAAGCATTTGGTCTATCTTTGGAATAATAGATACAAGGTCAGTTCAATTAGAGCGATGTTATGCATCTGTGGGCTCCGGCTAACAATTCGTTTAAAATTCAATCTAGTTTTTATGGATTTCAAAAATACGTCTCAGGTTTCCGGCTTTTTTGACGAGTTAAAAATGGAGGCAAAATATTCACTTGTTCATTCCCATGACTTTCCACAAATTCATTTTGGATGTAAGTACACACCTTTCAAAAAGGCCCCACTAATTATTCCGTGAAAGGGTCAAGTTAGCATAACTTTTTGACTTGTTTTGACCCCATTACCCATTTCAATCATAACGTTTACACCCTGTATAACTCACAATCATCAAAATGCTATAGCTGGATTTTTTTTCCCCAAAAATCAAGTTGTAGATTATGACATATAAGCTGGGAACCAATAACTTTTCCTGTTTTTTGTATATAACGTCCGTATTGACTTTATTCAGTTGAAAAGTTATGACAAAATTGCTTTAATCTCCTTGCCAGAATTGAACGATACCCAGGCCAACGAGTTATTTATTTTGGAAGAGCAGATTTACATTGCGTCGAAAATATTTTCTGTTTAGAGTGCCAACAGCAGTAGCATTAGAATGTGGTTTAAAATCTTCCACTGAATGAAGTAATTATGGCACATCGTCAAGTAGTTGTCCAAAATTGTGATGAACACCAAAATTTACATAAAGTTTACATAAGTAGCAAAAATATTATTGCTGCATACAGTAATTGTCATTGCAAAAAAAATCTATATGTTGCATAACACTGAAAAATTGGAGTTGGCAAACACAGATGGGAAAACTTATAATTCAGGGTTCAAACATCGTTACAGACTATAATTTGTAATAAACACGAAAAGTGAATGCCAAAACAGATATTTTTAAACGGTTTTATTTAGTTCGCCTTGTGTAGGTCAAGTCTATTAACTGACATTTTCTCCCTTGATGTTGGCCGATTGGTCTGACATTTTGTACACCCTTTTAATTTTTATTCCAAACTTAAAAAAGTCACTAATTTCAGTTGAATGAGAAAACGCATTTTTTAGACGGGTTACAGAAGCATCGGTGGGTCAAGTATTTTATTTCTATTTTGTAGTATGCTAAATTACTTGTCGGACCGCCCTCGTATATCGCAAAATATTCAATTTTGCAGCACAGTCATTACGTTTCCAACTTAGTTTGCAGATATTTTGAAATATCTATTTGGCTGTTATCAAACTGAAACAAGAGTCCAGGAAGTATCTTCGCATCTGCTCGGAAAAGATAATGATCCGAGTTTCTTGCATAATCTTGTTGCGTTGCCAGGCCCAAAATTTTTCTATGTTTCTTGGGTCATTATACAAAAAATTATACAAAAGGTCCTGAACTTTTCCCTAAAGTGGATACTTTTCCAAATATAATGTAAATGTAAATCATTTTAGTGAGTATTGTTATTGTAAACCTTTGTTTTTTAATTGTTGTTAATAGGCCTATGCGGCATCTTTTTCAGGCAATACCCTTAAATGCTTCGACTTTGTTAACGAATGTTTGTAGAATATTTAGAAACTTTTTTCATATTTTTTTCGGGGTCGAAAATCGCATCTTGTCAACTGTTTCAAATATTCAATGACTTATATCTTGAAAACTATTCAGTAGAAAGTTTACAAGAAACATCTCTGTTCGGAATGACCCAAGGAACTTAAAACCTTCGACTTGACCCTTATTACCATCATTTACCTAGGGAGAACGAAACTTCTTCTCAATAGAGGACTGCGGTGAAATAACAGGGTTAGAAGTCAAAATTGTACTTATTTACCATATGTATTCAAAACTATTTCAGAAGGAGGATCATTGAATTATCCGTTCCTTATCCGTTGGTGTGTTTTTCGCAAAGTGTCCTGGTCTATAACATCCCATCGATTACCAGAACTAGGCTACAAACCATCGACCGTTCCAGATATGACCATGAGAAGCGAAATAAAAGAATAGCGAGAAATGTGCTCAGAGAAAATGATACATCCTCTATTCATGTAATAATCATTCTAGAAACTTCGGTTGTAATTCATCATCATCTGTTCTGCAAACCGTGACAAACTGCGAACTTGTAAGCTATACGTGCATGACATTCATGCTATTCACCTATAAACGTTGATTTGACTCTATAAATAGTATATCGTATATCGGAAACGAACCATGCTCAGGTATTTGATTGTTACCATGGGCACCGGAAATATAACTATTTTTATAACGTTTTACCTCATTACGTAATAACATGGATGGGTTGAGGACAAGTCTTTCCAAATATTTTGAGCAGAAGCAAATAATGAACAATACCTATACAGTATATGGTTGCATATATTCAGGTAGGATATGTTAATTTAAATACATATGCGACTCTTTTCAACGGGTCATCTTGGAACAAATTATATGGGGATCAAGTTATTCCTAGTTTAGAAGCTCTTTATCAGTATTTTATAACGTAGAGTACTATAAATTTACTGTATTCCAAAATGGCGAACTGGCAGTTTTTGTCATTATAGAGGGAGAAAAGCTGCTGCTTATTTAAGAATTGCGGTCAATAATGGTTATGGCAAAAAGTGTTTTAATTGTTGCTTGTTTCCTATAGTTGCATACCGTTATTTTCATAATTGGATAAGTCCTGTTATAACAAAGCCTTCGCTTTGGCCCCAAGAACTTTTTTTGGATACGCCGGTGTCTTATCTGGCGTTATAATCTCGAATCGTTATATACTGTTATCAATTTCAGACAAATAAAACAGCGTGAAATTAGACTGAAATCGATTAACAGGTATCCTTGGCAAAAGCTAAAATACTTTCCATGTGACTGAAGATTGCAATTACACTAAATCGTAAAAAGCAATGAGTAATAAGCTCGCTATGTGGTTATAGAATATGACCAGGACAGAGACATGGTCTTACAATTCAGAATAAAAAAACGACATTTTCAAAGGGTATGAGTGTACAATGAAATTGGCTGACTTTTAAATATGTTTTTATTATTACTTGCTAATTAAAGGTCTCAGTGGACAAAAAGTTCGGTAAATACACTGGACAATATTTTTACTCATAAATTAGAGTAGGTATAGGTTTTGAAGGTCTTTGATCCAAATCTCTCAATTGGCTCTAGTTTCCGAGATATCCTAATCTAAACGCACAAAAACAGCGCCTATATTTTAGGTTACGTAACATTGCAAAAAACAGAGTTTGAGCGATTTTTATCTTTTTCGTTTTGACTTTTTCTTCACCGTTACTGGACCGATTTTCAAAAACCACAACGCATTTTCGTTATTGACACTTTATCGCTTTATTACGTTTTTATGCCGTATTTTCTATAAGAAACCTAAAGTGATTTCTGTTTTTGCACCTACATATCTATCCATTATGTTACAACTAACAGTGTACAAGTATCATGCATTGTAAACCAATGGAAATGGCAAAACTGACTCAGTGTCACTAGGGGTGTGGTTTGTACCATGGGCGTCCGCAGGAGGGGTGCCAGGGGGAGCCGTGGTCCTCATTAGAATCCATTACATTTGAGGTTTTTAGGATTTGGTTTTTCTTTCAGCAAATTTGCTTCCCCGGGTGTTCTTGGAGGCAGGTATACATTCACAGATAGTGCTTGCACTTGCCGACGGTCGCCACCCCCCGCCTCCCCCCTGAGAAAACTTACTGCGGGCGCCATGTTAGGTACAGCGTTCAAACATATATGAATATTAATTTCAGGTGAAATATTGACTAGTAATAAACCATGAATTCCAACAACAACCGTCCATAGGCATTTTTCATTTTCAGCAAAAAAATATCGAAACTTTGCAATGGAAATAAAATAATTAATAATGTTTAAGTAGGTCCCCAATAAGAAACGGGAAAGTAGGTCATATCACCGAATTTAAGTACGGGAAAAATAGATACGTATTGATTATCAAGTTGGAAAATAAATTATATATACATTGAATGAGAATAATGAAGGAGACTGCTATAATTATGTAAAACAGCGATACTGCTTCTATACAATATTAAGAATTATGGTTATGAAGAGCCTGGTTGACATATCGTTTGACTGCAGAAAATGTAAAATTCCTTTAATCCTTGTCTGATGTATCAACCTAGTTAAGAGAATCGCAAAACTGTACGAAACATGGTCCAAAAATTTCCATTTCTAAAAATGCTTTAAAGGACAGTTTTCCTGATTTTCTGATGACATATCAAATAAACGTACTTGCAATGACTAAAGTTCGGGACATTTTTGACATCTCGACTAAGATTTTGGGGATTTTGAGACATATATTTAAAATACGGGACTACACGGTATATTATCCCAGCAATGAAGGAGACAAATGGCAACCACAAAGTTGACCTGTTTTTATAGAAATATTTGCTTATATTTAGTAAAGATGAGTCTGATCTCCAAGTTCTGGTGGCCACCAAACGAAACCACAGACATTGCGGAAAAAGATTACCAGCGTTTGTATTTTTAAACAGCCACCGAGCAGGCCGAAACGTCAGTAAAGTTCTACTTCAACATTTATGGTTTCGTTTGGTGGCCACCAGAATTTGGAGATTTGTCTTACGAGACAACCACAGAACAAGATTCAGATGTTATGTTACAAGAACCCCTTAAATTGTTTTACGCTGCGCCAATGGCTCATACGGTCAATTCCTCTTGCCGACATTCTTTTAGCTTTTTTCTTTAAGAACACCCGGTATGAGCAGAAACCGTTATACCACTGTTTCGGCAGAGTGTATTTTAAACCTAGCACTTAGGAGCAAATTATTACTCGGAATCTCTATTTTTAGCGTAGGCGTAGAAACGTAGTCAGTCAGTCTTGTTCTTCACTTGTATTCAAATTATGCTCATTAACATGGGACGTATTCGTTCTAGCGAGTGATTCACCAATAAAAGCGTTATTAAATAAATGCAACCTTCCGGTTGTCATAGACCGCACTACCAGGCGCAATTTGCTGGTGCCCTTGCAGTTATGTAACTGCAATTTCGATTTTGGGATTAGAACGCAATAATAGAACATAAATACCTTATTTTTTATAGAAAATCACGGAAAATACTGACAGACTAAACAAGAAGAAACACACTATGAATATGTTTAAGTATATTATATTTAAATGTTGTATATATATATATATTGCAACAAAAAATGAATCTATAGATCTAACATGCTGGCGAATAATTATAAACATGATTCACCTAGGTGTTAAGAATAGGTGAGAACTTATGGGAGAAATAATGAGAGTTGCATAGGTATGCAGCCGATACCGATTTTTTTTGCATATCTACGTAATATATTGATTTAATAAATAATGCAAAGCTGACAAAGTGCAAAACGTTGAAAAACTTACAGTTTATTAACCGGTTTGCGAGGAACGGAACAGGTAGGAACACACGGCGTAGAGAATGAACCAACTGTGAATTTGAAATCTTGCCGAGCAGTAAAGAGGTCCGGATCCACTCCCCACCTTTCGCTGTGTCGACCAATAGACGAGCTTTACGTATTTACGGAATGACCTATCGGCGTTCAAAAGTTGTGTCTAAGGCAATCGTTTTTCAGATTTATTTCAGAGTTAGCTTTTTTACGTAACTGTAAATCCGAAATTTTGACTGCGGCTAGGTTATTCTTAATTCACAATTAAATTGTGTATTGTGGGTTCGAAAGGCCAAGGCTTTTAAGAAAGACAGAAATTATAAGTTCCTTTGGATTGGAGATGGTAATATCCTCCTAAGGAAGGACGAAAACTCAAAAGTTCTTCGTATTAGTAATAAAAGTCAGTTGGAAAACTAGTAAGGCCTCGTGAACAACTAAAAATTGCTTACATGAACTTGCAAAGTATTAGAAATAAACTGGATCTGGTGCAGTGTTTGGTTGTAAGTGAAGATTGGGATATACTGTTGGCAGCTGAAACATGGTTGGAAGAAAGTGAAACATTCTTGTTTGAGTTGGATGGCTATAATGCTGTTCATTCCTGCAGGGCTGGTAGAGGAGGTGGTGTGTCTATCTATGTGAGGAAATCTATTAAATTTCGTGAAATTGAGAAGTCAAACAGATGTGAGTTAATAAACTGGATATGTATTAGCTTAGGGGAACAAAACTTAAAAATTAGTGTTATTTATAAACCACCATCTGTAAATAGTAAAAATTTTTTTCATTGTTTGGAATCTATTATGCGTACTCATCCTAAAAATCATTTAATTGTTGGGGATATGAATATTAATTTGCTAGAAGTCTCACAAGTAGCCAAGGAGTACAAAGATTTAATAGCATTAAACAGTTTTAAAATTAATAATACGATAAATGAGGAGTGTGCTACTAGAGTTAGCAGTTCGTCAAAATCTGTTATAGACCATGTTCTTAGCGATTATGGTAGTAATGTAAGTTGTAGAGTCAGTGTTAAAGAAAATGCAATTTCGGATCATAAACTTATATTACTTGATATTAAAACATCTGTGCAGTTCCATAAACCAAAAGTTGATTATGAGGTAAAATCTGTAGATTATAAAAAATGTGTAAACTTATTTAGACAAAAAATTTTAAGCAAAAATGTAACAACTTTTCAAGAATTAATTAATTTAATTGAAGACTGCAAAAGTAAATCGGTATATATAAAAAAATTAAGAATACGTACAAATAACACCTGGATAAATAATGAAGTCCTTGAGCTTATCAAAAAAAGAGATAAATTATATAAAAGAAAGATTAACCAACCAGAAGACTTAACTATCATCTCTGAATTTAAAAACATCAAAAATAAAATAAACAATAAAATACGTGCTTTGAAGAACCGTTATTTCCAAACTAAATGGAGTTTAGCTGGAAACAATGTAAAGAAACAATGGGCTTTTATAAACAGCCTAATAAAAAATAAGGAGTATAAAGTAAGAATTGATCAACTAGTAACTGAAAATAACATTATTAACACTCAACTTGATATTGCAAACAATTTAAATAAATACTTTTCTCGGGTCGGTGGATCAATTGTTGAAAATTTGGAAGCAGAGATTCAGCAGTTGAATGAGTTTATTTCTGTTGGTGAGGTTCACAACGAAGATTCTATTTCGATAACATTGACTAATAAAGAAGAGTTGTTGGAAGTTGTGAAAGAACTAAAAGTAAACTCAGCACCTGGATATGACGGTATCACGGTTAAGGATGTAAATAATCTTGGAGAATACTTAATACCTGTTTTAGTACGATTAATCAATGAAACTATACAAAAAGGAATATTTCCATCAGAATTGAAAATAATTAAAATAACCCCACTTTTTAAGTCGGGAGATATTAAATGTATGAACAATTACAGGCCTATTTCAGTGGTGTGTGTATTCTCTAAGATTATAGAAAAATTAATAAAAAAAAGAATGTTATCTTTCATTGTTACTCACAATATATTGATTGATGAATTTCAATATGGCTTTATAACGAACAGTAGCACACTTAGTGCGGTTGTTGATTTTGTGGACTACATTTCAATGGCTCTAGATAAACAACAAATAGTTGTAGCTGTTTTCATTGACCTAAAAAAAGCTTTTGACGTAGTAAGCGTAGACGTTCTTTTAGATAAATTGTTTAAAATGGGATTTAGAGGTGTTTTGTACAGCTTGATTAAGTCTTATTTATATGACAGAAAACAGTACATAAAGCTTGGAGACATTGATAGTGAATGGTTATCTAGCACCTATGGAGTACCACAGGGGTCAGTTCTTGGACCTCTGTTATACAGTCTTTATGTACTGAATCTCAAGTTGGCCAATCTGAGGGGAAGATATTTTACCTTTGCAGATGACACTGTACTGGTATATACTGGAACAGACGAAATTGCTTTAAGGAATCTTATTAATGATGACCTGAATAGTTATCTTAAATGGCTGTTTTCGAATAGATTAAAAATTAACATTGAAAAAACAAAATACATTATATTTAAACAAAAAAATAAGATAGTTAGCAATAATCTAAATATTAACATAAATAATATAGCGCTAGAGAAAGTGTCAAGTATTAAATATTTGGGATTACTGATAGATGAAAGTTTAAATTGGTCACTTCACGTAAATGGAATTTGTGATAAAATAGTTTCAATGCTATCTGCCTTATATAAGAGTCGAGATTATTTGTCCAACAAAAGCAAATTTCAAATTTATAATGCCTTCTTTCTTACACATTTTAGGTACCTCTTGCCAGTATGGGGTATGTGCGGTGAAGTTAATTTTAATAAAGCTCAAGTTTTACAAAATAAAGTTCTGAAAATATTGTTTAATTTTGATTGGCTTACAAGTTCTAATACACTTTATTCAAATTTAAATTTAAACAAATTAAGAGTGTTATTGGAGGTGGAACAATGTAAACTTGTTTATAAAATTATAAATAATCTACTAAAAAGTAACATAAATATTAGGTTCTACCATAACGTGCATGATCACCAAACAAGATCACTAAATAATGTTTATCAAATTTCCACAAGAACTAACATAGGTTTAAAAAATCCGATCACAGACGCAATTAAGAAATTCAATAATTTACCTCATTGTATAAAAGATTCAAATAACTATAGAAGTTTTGTTAGAGAATTGAAAGATTGTAAAAATGTTAATGAATTTATTTGTTGAAATTATGAGCAACATTGCAGTGTACCTGTAGTTCATATATATTAATTATTGTCTTGTTATTCTCGGGGCCAGTGTTTGCAAACACTGATTAGGGAATTATTGTTATAACTGTTATACTTTTGTATTAATGTGTTTAAATAAATTATTTCAAAAAAAAAAAAAAAAAAAAATAGGTTTATACTCTACGACAAAACTTAGCACCGGATGTGACGTCTTCATTGTATATTTTAATTATCGCAAATTTGGAATGAAACATAATTTGTTCATAATGAAATAGTTGCGAAGGCTTATACTTATATCACAGTACCAAGATAGGTTTAAAGAATTAGAGATCTTGACGATATACGGGGTGGCGCATCGAAACGAAACAGATGCATTTACTGGCAGCTTCGAGGGGGACACAAGTTTGGCAAAAAATTACGTTAACAAGGGCGGGGGTGGCACCAACCCTAAAATCTTAAATGGAAAGGGGGGTCGAGTGATACCTTTTTTAAAGGTCTTTTAATTCCCTTTATAATGATGTAAAATACATGAGCTTCAGTTCAGTAGTTTTGAAGATTTATTGATTTAAAGCTTTAATAGGTACATCAGATTAGTTTGTACTACTTTCAGAAGAAATTTAACTAAAAGAATTTACTTAATAAGTAAATGCTTTTCTTCATTACGCCAATGGTTTGTTTATCATTTTGTTGTTGAAAATAGCTATTTGAGCGTTTTTTGTGGTAAAAAAGTTATTTCTTGAAGAAAGATAAGAAAATATCTCGTAATTATTCTGAATAGGAATTTAGTACATAGTTTGCGATTGATTTGTCCAAACTTTGTTGCTAAAATAACTTGTAATGTTTTATTACGTAAATTAGCCATGGTATATTCCACAGCAGAAAGAGTTGAAATTATCGAAATATTTTTCGGAAATAATTAGTGCGCTAATAGAACAGCAGAAATATTTAATGAGCTGCATAAGAACAATAACGTGCATCGAAAATATGTTCTAGAACTTGTAGCTAAATTTCGGGAAACTGGGTCAGTCGCCAATAAAAACCGCAACATTGAAAATCCCATAAGGAACGAAGCAATAGAAGTGGGGGTTTTAGGGCAAGTTTATGTAGATCCTACGTTAAGTACCCGCAAATTGGAGATCGTGTGTGGTGTTAGTCGACGTACTGTCCAACGGATTCTAAAGGCCCATAGTTTTCATCCGTATAAAATTCACCTGGTACAAGAACTTAATGAAGATGATTTTTTCCGGCGATGACAATTTTGTGAAGATATGAGTGAACGAATTATAAACGATGAACATTTTCTATTCAACACACTTGCTTTTCCGACGAATGTTCCTTTTTCTTAAATGGCGTAATAAATCGTCATAACTGCCGATATTGGTCCGATTCTAATCTCAGAATTTATCATGAGGTTCATACACAGCAGCCACAAAAATTAAATGTTTGGACTGATATTTTTGGCGATCATTTAGTTGGTCCTTTTTTCTTACCTGGAAATTTGACCGGTGAAATGTATTTGGATTTAGTGGAAGACGTCATAGATCCTGCATTAACTGCCATAATTGAAATCAGAATGATCGGCGGTACATTGCGAATAGGTTGATGTTCCAACATGATGGTGCACCACCACATTACGCATTACGTGTTCGACAATATTTGGATCACACGTTTCCAGATCGATCGATTGGTAGAAGAGGTGCCATTGAATGGCCCCCAAGATCGCCAGATTTATCACCTTTGCACCACATAAATGTGGGGTCATTTAAAAAGCAAAATCAATGCTACTGAGCCAACATCATAAGCAGACCTGCGACAAAGAATTGTGAATGAGTGCCTTCAAATTACTCCTCAAATATTGCAAAATGTGCGGCAACGTTTTGAGCAAAATTTTATTATTGCATGGAGAGTCATGGTGTCCATTTTCAACATTTACTTGCCTAACGGGTCAGTTCATTCTTCATTTTTAAATTACTTTGCTGCCAAATGTATTGGTCTCCACTAATGATTATGTATTAGTTTCATTTAAGCTTTACATCAATAAATCCTCAAAACTACTGAACTGAAGTACATTAATTTTATATCATTATGAAGGGAATTGAAAGACCTTTAAAATAAGGTATCACTCGACCCCCCTTTCCATTTAAGATTTTTGGCGTGGTGTCACCCCCGCTTAGGGGGCTGCACGTGCTAACGTGATTTTTTGTCAAACTTGTGTCCCCCTCGAAAACAAAATCGATGGGTCTGAGCGTTTTTCAAAAAAAAAAACTGAGCTGCCAGTAAATGCGTCTGTTTCGTTTTCGATGCGCCACCCTTAAGGCCTATTCATATTCAGCCGTCACGTGACATTGCTGTGACCGGCACGTGATCCGCCCGACGAAACTAAAAACATTCTTCCTGGAATTTCGATAAACTGATTCACAATAGACCGGCACGTGGAAGTGGCCATGTTCTCAGTGCCCTCGACGACGCCGGAACGATATTTTTCGATTTTCACGGCCGTGTTTTTATGCAATTTCGTGAATATTTTGATATAATTAGTCAAAACATGGATAATGAAAAACTAATTGAATTTGAACGCGTACATCCCGTGCTGTAAAACCAGTCAAATTCAAAATACATGGACTTCCGTTCTCTTCTCGTTTATTCTTCTTCATCTTTCGTAGATGGTCTCTGACTGTCGATCGCGGAGGTACCACCCGGCGGATCTCGTAGGCACACGTGTTCCCACGCCAGAGTCCGTGTGGCGTCCCCCCTTTCCCCTGTGTTTCCCAGTATAGCCCCACGGTACCCCATGGGTGTTTAGGTCTTAGCCATTCGTGGTAGTTGGAGTATAAAAAAAAATCCAGAATTAAGGCAATAATTGCAAGTTCATCGTCCGAAAATTTTGCCATCTCGACCTGACGTGAACACAACTGCACTGTCATAGCACGGAAAAAAATACTGGCCGGTGTGAATTGAAAACACTGTGAACTCACGTCAGCGAGAATCACTGCCAAGTCCTGGCACTGTCATGTCACGGCTGAGTGTGAATAGACCTTTAGGCAAAGCTTTTTTGGGAGGCCATAGGATGGATGTTTGCGTCGAAAGATTGCATCATCTTGCTGGTAACAGAAAGCAGACCTATGTGTCTGTAGCTGTATGGGTCATAGATCCTTTTTTGAGAATTAAATAGAGAATTTGGATTCAATACATTTTCATCTATTTGATTTTGTCGTATTTTGCTTTTCCTGTATAGTCTCGTCACGCTTTTTTCAGTTCCACCTTGTAAGCAGCTTGAAAAACTTGAATCTTGATCAAATTTATGAGAAGCGCTTAAAACATATTATGAGTACTTATGCAGTTTTATGTCGGATTTGTATACGTGCGAAAACTCATATCTGCCAATAAAATGATATTAAAAGTAGCGTTTGGATGAATAACCGTCTACATCAGTTTGATCAGATAGACATGATAAGAGATAATTTTATTGCATAACAAAAAGTCTAATCGATATGACTTGAACATAATCCAGAGAACAAGGGCTAAATCACTCATAAAGCACTTGAAACATTTGATTTATTGCAGAATAAGTAATATTTTATTGGTATATCTTTAGTTGCTACTACCCATGTAGAACGTTTTATACTGCATACGACCTGATTCAAAAGGAATCTTTATATTTCACAAGCTGTCTTAGAATTAGACAATTTCTTGAATGCAGGTAAATCACAAAAACAGAATGCCACAAGTTTCTGTTTATAAATACGGTCTTACGGGAATCCCCTCTAGAGATACATACCCTCTAAGTTCCTAAATACCTTTAACAGCATAGTAATCGGTTTATACATCATGTGATGGTGTCCATGGAAAATAAATCCTCCTGGGTCAGACTATCCCTCAGGGAATGTTGTTGATTTGTTTACACTGTGTTGACTTCAAAATAATATTGTTAACATAGAAGTCTTTAAATAAAAAGCGTATTGATGTTTTCTGAGAGCATGCCGTAAAATGTTGTGGCGGGAGACATCGGCATGTAGTGGCGTAGTTGGCTGCCAGAATATACATACCTAGACACCGTCGTAAGCTGGCTGTATACTGTATGACAAATACTACCGGTATTGTGAAGAATATTTTTCTTAACAGTGTGTCCTGTCGCCGGGTAAATTATTTTTCATGCTCTCCTCTGCAGCAAAACTAAGTAGGTATACGGAAAATTTGTAAGATTTGGTCTAATTACGGCATGCCTAGGGATCCCGTAGCGCACCTATCAGTACCTCGTCGAGAATTTTGTTAGGTATCTGAAGGCATGCTGCGAAATTTTTTGGCAGGAGACATCTGCATGCCGTGAAACCACTTGGTTACCAGGATATACATACAAAAATAGGAAAATAATGGGCAAAATTCGCAAAAAGTGGATTCGAGCAGAAAATAGGATTAGGTACCCCGAGCGATACGTATTTCTGCTGGTTGGCTTCATCAGGCCCGAAATGAATGCACATATGAAACTACAAACGTAGATACACATGCCCACACATCCGGATACGGGGGTAACCTGAGGAACCGAAGATGGAGAGGAAAAAAAGACACACGAAGTTCACAACTTGAGCCAACCTACACATTGTAGTATAAAATGGATAGAAGACCTCGAATTTTCAAGGCGACAAATAACCTCAGGTTACACCCGTATCCGGATGTGTAGGCATGTGTATCTACTTTTGTAGTTGCATATGTGCATTCATTTCGGGCCTGGTGAAGCCAACCAGCAGAAATACGTATCGCTCGGGTTACCTATCCTATTTTCTGCTCGAATCCCCTTTTTGCGGATATTTGCCCATTATTTATATATATATATATATATATATATATGTATATGTAGGCAGCAGCGGTGGCCGCAGTAGTAGACTCTTCGGTCTCCTGATCAGTAGCCGTGCGCTGTCCGCGTTCGAATCCCGTCCCAGGAGAAACTTTTCTCTTTTCTATGGATGTTGTGATTGTCCGTAGGTGATAGACAGTCTCTGACTGTCGAACGTGGAGGTACTACCCGGCGGATCTCGTATGAGGGGCCAGAATGTGTGCATGTTTCATGCACACGTGTTCCCGCACCAGAGTCCGTGTGGCGTTCCCCCTTTCCCCTTCGTGGTGGTTGGAGTATAAAAAAAAATTGTAGGTAATTTTTTTCATTAGTGTGCACCTTTGAGTGGCAAATTCTTTTCAATCCTCTCCCCTGCAATAAAATTGCGTATATGCAATTTTCGTAAGATCTGAGCTGATCATGAGCTTTCGTTAAGATTCGTTATGGATTTTCTCTGCCGGTATCTGAGAGTATGCCTTGCAAGTGCACGGCAGGAGGCATCGGCATGCCAAAGGATGCCGACGAATGCTCGCGGTATCGTTTATTATTTATGTTTGAATATTACGAGTACGTACCACTTTTGCGTTCTGAGATGCTTTTGTAAATGAATACTTAACTGTTTTTATATCTACACATTTTTCTGAATTTTATGATCCTTAAATGTACCACCTATTTCGTCCAACCTTTAATTTGTATTACGCCGTCTATGATGGTTCTCTGGATATTTCGTCAAGTAGGTTGACTCAGTACTTATGTACGGCACGGATTGACAGACTGACATAAATGTGAAACACGGACTTGCGTGAAGCAGATATCTTTGAGCAACAGAAAACCTGTGAACCGAAGTTCGAATATTATCGCGAGCTTAATACTTGTATCGTTTAAGTAGTCGTGGATTTTGAAAATTGATTCAGAGGCACCGGAAATAAAATTGCTGGAACATAGAGTTACAGAGATTCCTGCTTATTTTCAGGCATGTTTGGAGGAAATGAAAATTATAGGTTGGAAGCTGTAAGCGGTAAATTGTTGTAAATTGTTGCATATTTGGTGTCACTGACAGACGACCTTCTATTATCAAGAAGGTGCTGATCTCAGTGATATTATGTACATGCTAGACATAATAAGTAACTCATATTTTCTCTACATCTGCTATAAATATGTGTATGATAGATTTGTTTCACTTTTGAAACAATTTGATTAATCCCTCTTTCGATATACGTCTTCAGATCTACAATGTACGTGAGGTTTCTGCAGTGCGTTTCTGGAAAGCTAAGGTCAGCAGGGGGTTAGGTCACGCATGTTAGTGGATGAAATAATGTACAATGTATACAAACGTTTCACTGATAATTTTATTAAAACTCTCCAAATTAATAACAATACATATAAAACAACAACAACAACAACAACAACAACAACAACAACAACAAATAAATACCAAAAACAAAAGTGACAAAACGCTGTGGTGAAATTAAAGGATCATATTCAAAGTATAAGGTCACTTCTGCATAGAAACTGGAAGACTAGAAAAAAATTAAAGCAACAAAACAATCAAAACAATCTACCTGGTCTGGTTCTGATTTTTAACGATTTCATTGCGCACGAAATCAGATGATGAGGAGGAACCCACACTTGGCATTGAATAGATGATGGAGTTCTCGTCATCTTCTTCTACGTCGCTGGTGTCATTTTCTTCTTCATCTTCATACTCGATATCCTCAAATGATTCTGATTGGCTCGGATGTGGTGATGGGGATCTGATAATCGATTTTGAGATGTTGATCTTCATGTCATCGGGCGGAATTGGTGTTGAAGAGACGGGCGGTTGGAACGGAGATCTAGATCGGGGCGTTTTGGGAGACGATGGCTCGCGAGGAGCCAACTGAGGCGACGGAGATCTTACTACCCCCGGTACCGGAATGCGAGAAGTTTCCGGTTTCTTGGGCGGTAGAGGACACACTACTGCTGTCTCCTTGGTCGCCGGCTTTCCTTTTACTCCGCTGATCTTTTCCCAGATTGCATCTCTTAAATCAAAAAATAAGGAAACTTAAAAAACAAAAGTCAACAAAACCTATTTTTTCCTGAGCGTGAGCTTCTAGTACGTGTTAGCTAAAGCCTTTTTTCATACTGATGCAGAAACCTAAATAGTATCGAGACACCGCGATTGCTTGTTAATCCGATTTCTGAACTGTCCAAGGTTTGTAGAACTGAAAAGAAGGTTTTAAAAAAGAGGTCTGAGGAGCAAAGCCCCGAGACTGTCTGTTAGAGAAGAGTCATTTGACGTGTTTTGATGCGAAAATGGAACATACTCGTATAAGGGCGGATTTAGGAATCTCTGGTACTTGCAGCAGCGCTTCCGAAAGCAAATGTCCTTTTGACAATTGAAATGCGGGGTGGGATACGTCTAGAGACGTCTCATGATTCAGGTTCAGCAAGGTAATTTTCACACCAAAATATTATGATATTTTCTTCAAAAAGAAACGGCAGACTATACGCATGTCACTGTTAAAGGTAAAAATTATTTTTGCATTGAAAAATGTGAAACTCTATTAACTTTCACTACGTACTAAATATCAGTGAAATACCTGAAGTGGTTCTGAAAATATAAATTAATTTCCTTTTTTTTCCTAAAACTTCAACACCCCGAGTTTTTGTAAGGAAACATTTTTGGACCATAGTTTATGAAGTAAACTAACATTAATTTTTCATGTAGATTCACACCCTTAAATATTCGCATATTATTAAGGAACACCCTGTATAACTTTCTGGGCCCTAAGCGGAATATTACACTATTTCGTTTAGTAACAAAATAGAAACGAATGCTTAAAATCACCGGTAATGTTACTCTCTCCAATTTCATATCCAAGTAACGATGGCTTTTTGGGATCTTTTTTGTTGTTAGATACGCCACTGCTTTCGGGAAGGTGCTTTAGATATTTATAAATTTGAGTTATATTATATCGTTCCCGGCCACCGGGCAGTGTTGCAGTGTTACGTTTATTTTTGGTGGCACGTGCTACACATCGCTCATTCCATGATAATATTTGCACAACTAAAAATTCAGTTATTTCCAACAAGGAACTACTAGAGGCTGTCAGATACAGCCACTCAAACATTTTTAATGATGATACCGTTCCTTTGGTCCCTAACTACCAGAAATCCATGGTTTGAAAGAAACAATCGAATTCAGGAATTGTGGAACACTATTATATAATAATATGATGTTTTTGTCTGTAAACATTTTACTTCCCACGCCCACTGGCGAGGAAGCAATGTAATTGCGAGATATCTTTTTGGATATTATGACATCAAAACCGTGTTACTCATTTCCGTTGTTCCGTTGGTCGATGGGTCTGTCTGTCTCTACGTCCGCGTCCGCTAATCCTCGGAAAGTACCGGTTGGATTTTCAGCAAATGTTCACACAAGATTACTTCTATGCTGAGGAAGCTTTGTAGTTTTTGGAACTCCGTCTTATGACGTTTCAGAGGATCGTGATTAGTTTGAAAGAATGTTTGGGGTTAAAGATTGGGGGTGGTCTGTCATGGGGGCTGGAGGAGGGTGTATCGCAATTTGTTGATGTTAGGACCCCGATAATTCTACGCACCTATTAGACATATTTCACTCATTATAGATTGCCACGTATATTTACCCTTGAAACTTAGGACAAGCGTTCCTGCGTCTGCTGATTTCAACTGCCGGGGCAGTATGTGTACTGCATGAGTATTGGAAGAAATACCGGCAATACCTTTGTAAAGATACCCTTACACGGGACACTTTCGATTTGAAAGTAAAACAGTTCAACACCTGAGAGTTATCCCTGTCTTTCTTCTTTCCGGCTGTGCCCACTGTCCTCCCATCCACATTGTTCCAAATAGGAGGATCTGAAAACTTTTTTGCTATTTGGTTTGCCATCTGCGGCACTTTTATTTGATACGCCCATGGCTTTGCCAGAGATACAATTAAAAAAAACAATCTGTCTTTTTTAAACATGCAATCTTTACGTACAGTACCCCAGTATATGCAACCAGCAATATAGTTATTATGAACACAATTATATGTATGCCAGCAAATTTGAATTGAGCGATTCAAATTTTGAAGTCGATATAACCAAAAATATGAAATACCGATATAAATGTAACATTGATAAGTAATTTAAGCAAACCGAATCAGAAATTATTTTATGAATGCAATGTGCAATATTATCACAACGCACTGTACGAAATTAACAGTAGGATTGTAAAAATGCAGAACAGTGATGGAACGCATATACTTCGAATCATACATCTGCGCCTCTGCGCCCCTATTTTGCTCTATTACAAAAATCGATCAACACTACACTGTCACCTTATGCCAAGATGTATGCAACTAACAATGCAGTTATGAGCATAAATGTATGTATGCCGGCATATTAGAATTATTTAATTTGAATATTGAACATTATGGTCTTGGTATATATGTAAATTTGTATAAAATATTTCTGCACCATTTATTTTAATGACTGTTTTATTATTAGTATTTCTGCAGCACTGATTAATGTGAAGTATAATGTCCAACCCAAAATTATTCATAATCATTGCAAATTGCAAGCTGGGAACCTAAGTAGCAATATAGCAATATTATCATAACACTCTGTATGATATCAGTACAATATTTGTGAGAATGAGAGCACTGTTGTTGGGGGTAAATTATCGAAGAATTCCAAGCCAAGAAAAAGATGATTCAAAGTAGGGTTAAGTATATGAAATTAGATGCATCCAAAAATAACTTTTACATGGATACACGCCAAGCTGTAGTTAATATCACAATAAATAAGATTTACATAGCATAGAAAATTCCAAATTAATCGTTTACTTACTTGTAAGCCCTGTAAAAGATGGCCCCATACCATAAAGCGAACATTTTCGGTGTTCAAAATATACGAGTAACTTCTGTTGGATCTCGTCCCTCCTTGGTGTTGATATCTATGTAGTTGTACACGTTCTGAAAATAAAATGAACTTCGCAATATCCTTTGAGATGATAAAAAAGGCAAGGCTTGAACTTACGGCTGTTTGACGTCTACCAAATTTGCGCGCAGTCAAAATGACAATTAAAAGCTTTACCGGAAATTTGAAACATCACTCAAAAACAAGTGCCGCTTCACACAAACATCAATCAAAATTCCAAAGACAATGAGTATATTTCAGGAGTGCGTATCAGCCAAAAGGAGATAAATGTAGGTGTTCACCCTCCAGCATTTACCTTATATAGAAGCGTCTAACGCGTAACAGCTATATTCTCATAAATCTAAATATAAACTCTATTTTCAATAAAACTCTAACAGCATACCTATGTACAATAATTTTTTATATTCGCAAAATACATGTCAGTCCTCCAGGACATCCCTTCTTTGCTGTCAGATTTCAAATATTTTCAGACTGTAGGGGTGGTGTCATAGAACACCACAACTCAAGACAGGAGATATAATTCTAGCTTAGACAACCAGTAATACAACTTCTAATAACCAGTTCTTAGAAAATACCTTTGTTGGCAATTTGACCACTCACTAAAGGGATAGTTGATCACGTGTTCGTTGAACCACGCCCTCAGTATCCACAGATTGTTATATTAATATATTATATTGGAACGTGGAATGTATGGCAATCCATAATACACTCTTCCATCTCCTAGTTCATGTATTAATATTAGATATAAATATATATATATCAAACCTGTAAAAGAGTAAGAAACCTGTAACGTGGATGATAATATCGATTATAAGCTTTGGATGTGCTGGACAAGGTGGCGCTATAGATATAATTTCCTATAAATTGTAGCGTCTACCCGTGTCCGGTGGGTGTGTTTCAGCGTTGCCAGACGAACGATAATTATCGTTTCTGTACGATAATTTCAAGTACTGTACGATGTACGATATTATGTGTTCCTACACATCCTAATAGCTGAATGTACGATAATTTTGCGAATGAGCTTTTTTACTCACAGATGTTGCATCAATCTAACAACTACGTTCACTTAACACCAGCAAGCAGCTGTCAGTGTTGCCGCTTGTAGACAAGCGCGCGTACCCCTTTCTGTATAATGGGCTGCCTAGCATTATGCGGACTATCTCGGCAAACATCAACGGCAAAAATTGCCGCTAATCAGTTCTCACGCGCTATGTATTGACATGACGCGCATATTTTCATTTACCCTTGTGCATTAGATGAAATGAATGCGACGTCTCCCGTTTTTATGCCTTTTGAGACTTGAAAATCAAAAGATCGCTTTCAGTTATTTTCGATATTTAACCGGTTTCAATTCAATAACAATAATATGTCGGATTCTGAATCAAGTTGCTCTGGAAGAGAGAAACACAACAAAAGATGCGATACTATCCAATACAAAAAACACCAAAAAGGAGCGGAAAGCCACACATAGACAGCAAGCCTATGGGACAGAGTGGGAAACAAAAGAGCTCCCCCTCTCAACGGGTTTCGCTCCTCAGGACTGTTCTCCATGATGCTGTCGCGCGATGTGCCTGCCGGACAGATCCACCTGATTTCGACCTGACCCAACTGGCCGATACGAACTCCTTTGTCCCTAGGGTATTGAGATGGTGAAACAATATTCCTGAGAAGGTTTTTCCTAGTTCTATTAACTTTGGGCAGTTCAAAAATCGGATCAATAAAGTTCCTTCAAGCTCCTGGTGTTTAGACTTTTCCCTCTTTGACTCGATTATTTTAGAGAAGGTTCCTGTATCCCTGGCCTATACATACTCATATACAGCAAGCTAGAACAAACAGTTTATCCTGGTGCACGTGCTGCAGCACAGACGCGAACACACTGTTTTCTCTTTTAACATTTATCTTCGCAAAAAGTGGGTATTTGTATGTAGAACATGTGAAACTTACTGAAGTTGCAAATACAAAATATAAAACTGTCTCGTCGACTATATATGAACGTGTACGTACGCCTTTGCAAGACGTACAATAAGGAGTTTACACGACTAGGAACTTGAAACAAGTTAGTCCGTATTTGTGCCAGATTAGAAAGATATGGTCAATGGAGGTTTTTCAATAAGTTCCTAGCCTAGGCAAATCATTGTAATTCTATATAGGAAATTTGGTTGGGATTAAAAATTCAAGAGCGGGGTGACAGTGACCATACCCGTGTACTCATACGGTGTAGTTTAAATGATATTTAAACAATAAATCTAATTTAACAGGAAAGTTTTGATTATTAAATAACAAATTTGTATTCTTCTTTTTTTGTCTTCTTGCAAATCGATTTATGACTTCTTCCATATCGACATGTACATGTAGGCTTTTCTTATACTCCTGTCCGAATGTCTGAATTTTCAATTAACTAACGTAATCACAGAACACATGATGCTCAATTTCCGATAATGCATTAACGGACATGCAGTGACACCATGCCGAAAAACGCAGAATCACTATTTTATTCATATTTGCGCCAAGCTGAACATACAGGCGCTTACAAATTGATCAGGGTTGCCAGGTATGGTGATTTTTCAACAAATCTGATGATTTTCATCCGTTTGTATCCATTACATGTATTCAGAAAGTCTGTATTTTATTAGATATCTACTAGATAACTGACTTTTTTCTCAGAGTGTCTAACTTCTGATGGACATAATCCTTTATAATTTGATGGCGACGTTGCATGGGAAGTGCAGAGTCAACCAACTTGACTATATTATGGTTTGCTGTACGATCAATTCAATCCACAGTTTTTCTGTTGACAGCACTCTACATACTGGAATTCAAAGCGGCAAGCCGATCTCTGCTGGTGAGCTGGAAAAAACTAGACTAGCAGCGACTTCGTCTCTCTGACGAGAGACCTTGATATTATCACTGCCTGGGACGCAACAATCGTGTATAGTTTAATGCTTCCAAATCACAGTATTGTACCTTGACGAACAAAAAGCGTCCCTGCGCTCATCCGGTTCCGATGGATGGCCGAGTTCTGTCAAACAGCAGTACATTTCGGCTGGTCGGAGTCCAGATCACCGAGAACTTGATCTGGCACGAACACATCTCGCCAATAGCGGCAGCTGCTAGGAAAAAGCTAGGCTATTTGTTTAGGGCTACGAAGTACTTTCCTCTACAGGACCTCTCAAACTTCGTACATCCAGCACTGGTCGATACGACCGCTCCATTGTCCTTAGGGTGACGAGATTGTGGAACAATCTACAATAGGAGGTCCACTAACCTTAGGCAGTTCAAAAATCGGATGAACACAGTTTCTTTGGGATCCTCATAGAAGCATTCAGGCTTCTGCCTGCGCGGCTGCTTCGGTGTAAAAAATGTTTCTCTAACCGGTAAATTAAGCTTGTACTTGAAAAAAGGCCACCGTGGTTGTCAAAGTGAACAGTATTTCAAGCATTGAAGCAAACATGGACGATTATACAATACATCTTCCCTATTGACCGAATTAGCAGTTACTAGGATGAATTGCCAATTTCCCGCATCCAACTGACATGACGTTCGGAGTAGGATTGTTTGTAAATAATCGATTTGTAGGGTCTTTAAACAATACATAACGACGCCTCCCTCAAGGTATACCTCAACTCTGAGAGGGATTGTAGCGTGCACAACGACGTGCTGATGAAATTTAGCAGGGGTGTTGATTCCCACCCTCTTAGTTTCGGCCATCTTTTGTTTATTCATATACCTTAATACATTTTTTAAGTCTTTAGCACTTGATATAAGGTGTCTTCTAACACATTCTTCTCATTTTTACTTATTTGTTTATCGGCTACTCATTTTTACTCATTTTCTATGCCTAAAATGGCGAGGAAGTATTGTAATCGTAAAAAAATTCGAAATTGAGATGTTATGTTGTTTTAATGATATATGGAATATACATCATGATAAACCATAACACTCTTTTTTTTCGGTCTTGCCATCTGTCGGTATGTCCGCTAATTTGTATAACTTGAGAAGTACCGCTCGGATTTTAATGAAATTTATATTCAAGGTTACTAATATGCCAAAGGCATTTGCTTTAAATTTAACGGGGAATTGAAAAATAATTTTTATTTGGCACAAATCCATTGGCCTACCATTTTTTTCTTAAAAATATCGAAGTCAATACCCGTACGTACGCCACTGTTAAAGCTAAAAATTATTTTTGCATCGACAAATATCCGACTTCATTAACTTTCACTACGTACTAAATATCAGGGAAATATCCGAAGCGGTTCTGAAAATATTAATTAATTTCCTAAAACTTCAACACCCTGACTTGTAAGGAAACAGTTTTGGACCATAGTTTATGAAGCAAACTAACATTAATTTTTAATGTATGTAGACTCACACCCTTAAATATTCGCATATCATTAAGGAACACCCTGTATACAAGTTCCATTTTCCCAAAATTGCCTAAGAGTCAGCCTACTCAACGCCACTTTCAATTTGTCTAGCAAATAACTTGTTCTATCTTCCTAGGTCAGTGTGCGCCGCTGATTTGTGCGGAGATGTAAGACGTGGCGTTGCGTTCTCGTTCAGTGACGTGAACTATAACTTGAAGATGCTATTAGGACTGCCGGAGAATCCTCAAGTGTGTTTTCATCAATATGGATAAGGACTTATTCGAGTCCTTTATAAATTGATAACTTTCCAATAGCAAAGCGCAGAGGTTCCACCGTTCTAACGTTCCATCGATAAAATTGGTTTATTCAAACTATCCGAGATAGAGATATAAGCATACAGAAAATACAGCATGTGTGTTGAGTATTAATAATTTCCTAGGTGCATTCGAATGAGAGGGTATAAGCGTATATCCATGAATATATCCATGTATTTGGCTTTTGTGCCGGCGATGAATACGAAAAAGATAGCGCGACAAATAAATGCCGAGAGAGTGATCTCCTAGAAAAAAATTGAAGGGGAATACACACTTTATCGCTTGGTCGCCCGAATGCATACAAGGTCAAAAGTCCCGCATTCGTATGAGAAATTCATAACCGGTATATTTTTCAGCAAATTACAATAAAGCTTTTTTGCTACCAACAATGCTTTTTTACGTCCTTGATGCCGTTGTACTGAAGCAGCGGAACTTGCTTCAATTCATTCACGGCTCTTACGGCTTTGTCAATTTCCAGAAAACAGGATTTGCTCACTTTCAACCCATCCCAAAAACAGGATTTAAGACTGACCCTTAGAACTACAGGCCTGTAGTAGCTCTGCTTTCTGTTATAAGTATGGCATGCCAAAGGCCATTCATTTCGGTTGGTCGGAGTCCAGATCACTGGGGACTTGATATGGGAGGAACACATTTCGACAATAGTGGCAGCTGCTGGGGAAAAACTGGGCTCGAGTATTGTCCACATGTTTGGGATGTTGCCGCCCTAACTACATGCTGTTCAGATAAGGGCTCTCCTCATCGATGACTTTTCTCTAACTAACGCTCTCGGGACCCTTTTGCATCCTAACCGTGTTGAACTTCGTACATCCAGAACTGGCCGATACGACCGCTCCTCTCTGCCTAAGGTATCGAACAACAAAGGCTTGTGCCTACGCGGTTACTTCAGTGTGTAAAAATTACGATTATCGAGAAATATATATTTTCTGGGACAAAAAGTAGACGGTGTGCTATTTTCCGGACTATAATCTATCTCTTTACCACATTTAATCCAGATACGTTCAGCCGTTTTGGCGTCATTGAGTAACAAACACCCACACCTTCTCATTTACAGTATTAGTATGGATTATCATTATTTTCCCGCAAAACACGAATTTTATAACACAACAGCATATAGACATACAATTTTCTCGCGAAGCTTTCCGCCTGCAAAAACCTCCTAGACATGTCCTATTTTTCCCGTCCCCATCTGCAGTATTTCCAGTCGGTTTTTTGACGTCTCAAATTGCGTTCTTCCATTTCATACGTCGCACGTCTATGTGAGAAGAAAAGAAAAGGGTCCCGTCGTCGTGTCACCCTAACCGGGCCGTGTCAAGACGCCAGACCCAAAGAACAAAATTAAACCAGAACGACATATGGAACAGTGATGGCTCGTTCGCTCGTTGGCTCATCATTCAGACCTGGGCCGGTATTCTCGAACCTTGTTAATAATGGTGAATTATTGAAATGCAGAAATGGCAAAAATGCATTAAGTATATGGCTTTGCCAACGGTAATGATGAACAGGCCAGACGGAATTATCACCAGAGATAGAGGAAGACCGCTAGGCACTTAAATATTTGCCATCAAATTATTTGGAGAATATTAGTGGATTTTTTGTTATATTCTTACCATATTTTAAGAGTACAGGCATCACATCCCAGTGATTCTCTAAGGCGTGTGACCTTTTGTCAGTGGTATCTTCAAAAAATTACACAAAATCCGCAATTTGAATCAATGATTCTGTTCACGGACGAAGCTAATTTTTCTCGAAACGCCATTCAGAATTTCCAAAATAATCATTTGTGGGCAGAAGAAAATCCCTATGCCGTAACCATTTCAATGTAGCGGTTCCTAATTATTTACAAACTGTTTATCCAAATCGTTGGATTGACCGCGGTGGGCCCCAAGAATGGCCGCCAAGCTCCCCAGACCTCAACATTTTAGATTTCTTTTTGTGGGGCTATTTTAAGACACTAGTGTTGTTGAATAGTTGCAGCTTGTGATATGTGAATAAAAAACACTTCAGGGATATTTCAACGAGTGTACAATTCCTTGACAAGGAGGGCGGAAGCATGCATACTAAGTGAAGGGGGGCATTTTCAACAGTTTTTGTAATTATTTCGTTGGTTTTAAAGTTATATTTATGTTGTCAGTTGTTGTTGTTCATTACCCCTAATGCGTTTATTTTTCCAATTAAATTAATAATAATTTTGCCCGTTAGACAATATGACGGTTTTTATTTTTTCACTCAAAAATGGCTCATCGAAGGAAAACAAATCAAACGAGATCATTGTTTTAAATTGAACGGGGAATTTAAAAATAATTTTTATTTGGCAAAAAATCATTAGCGTACCATTTTTTTGTCAATACCCGTGCGCACGGTACTGTTAAAGCTAAAAATTACTTTGCATTGAAAAATATGCAACTTTATTAGCTTTTACTACGTACTAAATATCTGTGAAATATCTGAAGCGGTTCTGAAAATATTAATTAATGTCCATTTTTTTCCTAAAACTTCAACACTCCGAGTTTCTGTAAAGAAACATTTTTGGACCATAGCTTATAAAGCAAACTAACATTAATTTTTCATGTAGATTCACACCCTTAAATATTGGCATATAATTAATTAACACCCTGTATACGTCTTTGAATCTATCGCAGGCACCTCTGAACGATACAATTAACAGAGCTGTACTTGAAATTTCTTTGCGATGAACGGTACTGGTTCATTTTTTACTTTTAGTGTTAGGTTGGCTGTCTTCAGGTAGAAAACGTTAATCAATGGTTAAAATATAGTACTAATGTCCCGATTTCACCACCTTGAAGTTTAACCCGCCAGCTTGACTCTTCCAAAAAGTAACTGGGGGAGGACCTCTGAAAAGCCCTGTATAGTTTGCACTGGATTAAGTAAAAGAAAGAGGATTACAGCAAACATGTGTATATTTATTTTTCAGTACAATCACTTAATAATATCTTAAAACTAAGAACTGGCTGTGGAACTCAGGAGGTACAAAGCTAGTCACAATGGAATTGAAACAATTAAAAATAGAATTTATGATTGTGGAACATCTGTTTAACATGCTAATACCCTGTAGATGTGTACGTCTTGTTGTGATCAAGAATTATTTCAACTATATAACTATATGGGTTTAGTCGTAGAATAGCTTAAGCTAATCTTCGCCCAAATTAAAACCTTATTATTATTATTGTTGTAACCGCATGATGTGTCATAAATTTGATAAATATCAAATGTCACTGCCCCTCCCCAGTTTGTCTTTCCGTCTACTCTACACAGTACTTTTCAAAACGGTCCCACCTTACTTATTTTTTGAACGGTTTAATTCAACAAGTTGACAAGGTGTTAAAGTTTATGCACGAATAATATATTCCAGCCTAATTTTGGACATTTTATTAAATTGAAAGAGTTGTCTTGACCTTCCAGAACAGCTGACAGTTAAGCTGTCAAATTTACAACTCGCCAATCCATCATCAAAATGATGTAGTATGTTATATCAGTCTTCTGCTATTCGATTATGAAATAAAATAAATTAAAAAAAAGGGTCAAAATCACCTTTTTTTTTTCTTAATTGAATGTTCCATATTTTAATTACGCATTCAGATACACACTAAGAAGATCGATAAAACTATAACATTTTGATGATTAGTTGTTAAGTTATGAGTTATGAATAAAAACGTTCAAAAATGAAAGCCCGCCAGCCCGCCGCAGTACTTATTTATATTCTAGAGTCATAAAGTACTGATAAGTGAAGTTTTGCATGACTTCCTCATTCTGCTTGGAACAATGTTACAATATGGGGCCCAACAGGGAATTACTCAGCTGTTATTCTCATCAATCAAATCAATTTCATTACCCTTACTAATTTGACCTGTCAAAAATGAATAGGGGGACCTTTTTGAGCACTACGTATATAGATATGTTGGTTTGTCGGCGTGTTAGTCCATAAAAATGTTCAGAAGTGATTCTTGTAGATTTTTGCTGCATATGCTTTTGTAGAAAAAATTGAAAGGGAAAAAGGTGAAGTATTACAAACAATATAGTTTTCTGATGCTTTCAAACGAATTGTATTTAATATATTCCCCATGTATCAAATTAGCGACTAAAATTTAAAGCAAAAAGAGCATTTTATTAATAAGTTTATTATTTACTTTATTTATTTAGTAATCAAAGTCGAATAAGAGATAAAGTGCATATTTTCCAAGTAAGATGACATGTAAATGACATTTTTCATAAAAAACTCCAGTTCATAGCGCCGTGCATGTTATCCAGGGGATGTGTTAGGAGCTTTGATTATCTGAATCGCCCTGTATACCAAAGGAAAGATTTCACAATGTGTGAGAGAATGTGAAACATTTGGAACCTGCTTGTAAGAACCGAAGAAATTGAGTTGATTTAACGTACATGGGTCACGGAGAGTATCGGAATTCATATTGCAAGAACTTTTCGATATATTGTACCAATTACTAAGTAGCGAAATCCACAACGTCAGCTGTATGTTTGTCAGAAAAGAAACGTTAGCAGAAATCTTCAGATTACGTTTTTCCACGAGAGTGCTACTGAAAAACCTGTAATTTCTTTCTTGGAGTATAGCCAGAAATAAACTAATAAACCCTCTATTTGTTATATACAGGGGCTGCAAAAAAGATGGAAACACCATACCATGAAAGCTGTAATATAAATGATACAAATGCTATATTAATATGAAATTCAAAAAAAAATGTGACGTACATGAATATAGTACGAGAAGTAGCAACTCATTCAGATCTATCAAAGATAATACATATGTACATATAAGTAACGTAGTCAGATTTTAATGGGTCGGAAACTTTACAACCCTCTGCCAACATCTGTAAAATGTTTTAAGAATGATTCTTAATTCAAGGAATCATTAAAAGAGTTTTTGTTACACAAGTGCTTTTATTCCGTTCCAGCATTTTCAAATCGTTAAATTGTGTATTATTTGTCTCTGTTTTATTCAATTGTCATAAATGCCGTTGTTTTCATCAATTTTTTTCTATTATGACATGTCCAATATCCTATGAATAAGTTGTGGGTTTCATGAACTGTATATATACCTTGTGGGTCCACGGTATCAGGACCCATATTCTGCGACACAGATTTGTTGCTCTTCTCAAAACTCCTATATATAAATAATAGGGGAAATGACAATTTTGCGTCTTTATTGCTAATTTTTGGGCAAGGGCATACATTAATTTCAAGAGCACTTGTTTCATCCGGGCGAACACATGCCAAAAGTAAATATTAATATCGTATTTTCCATATTTATGAATGAGTAAATATTAATAATTAAAATGAAATACATCAATAGTATGAAGAGCGATTAAATTGACATATGGTTACAAATCATCGAGTAAAATTATGCGTGGAAACTCCTGCATTTACAGTGCTGGCCAGAGTCGTTCTTCCTTTTAAATTTAATAAAATAATGAACTTGTTTTACTTGAGCAGGTCAACTGATTTTATTAGCTCACTAATTTTAAATAAATTGGTGTACTCAATCTAAGTAAACCATTTATCAAATTAAATTAAAAGACTGCGTTTTGGTATAATTAGACAAGTTTCATAGATTCAAATAAACTGCAGTTTAATTAGACTTGTTAAAGTTGTTATCTGTCACATAGTTAATTAAAATATTTGAATGACCTGATTAAAATTTTAATTGGTTTGATTAAAAGTTTTTGTCAGTGTAGTTTTCTATTTACAGCGCTTTGAAGAAGACATTTCAATGATTTGCACTGATTAAATACTTATAGAAAGGAGGATTGAACAGCGACGTTGCTTCACGATCAACAGCATTCAATCTGCACTGAACGCCAAAAACTGCTACCAGTGAAGATATTATTAATTTTGTACACGATATAAATTTTTTAGGCTGTGTTCAAACGGACTTGAATTTCTTCGAAATAAGATGGCATAATGTGCAATTGTATCTATCAATTTGATTGATGCGACCTAAATTAGCACCATGACTGTAAACTGCGATACCGGATCGCGGCCAGCAACCTTGGTAAATGCGTTAACGTTTATAGTTAAAATAATCCTTGTCCTAACGGTTGAGGCATAATTTGTTGCTTTTTACATCTATTTTTATTTGTTTCCTTCCTTTTGTTCCTGATTTAGCTAAGTATTTTATATACAATTAATTCATTTACCCTAAGTTAGCACACTAGAAAAGCTACATCTAAAACAGTTTTGTGACTGTTGTTCATTCAAAAAATATTTCATTCGTAGCTGTCACAGAAGTCCATAACAACTAAAGTAGTTGCATTTCAGATTATTTGCTTTGGCACCGAAGTATTTGGCACAGTAAACTAAAACAAAGCATCTACATGTTAGAACATTGTCTATACAATATCAGCAAAATAAACTATTGTCGGAACTGGTATATATAGCTGAATCAGTTAACATTGTCTGTGATAACAACCTCATGATAGATATCTTTGAACCCTAGGTAAACTTATTCATATTTTACACACTTATTTCTCGTCATTCCCTAAAACCTGTCAGTCTTTGATTAAAAAAATTGGATTACATATGATTAAATTGTACACGTATATGCTCTTAATTTAAGCGTCCTTTGATATTGAACTCGAAGTTACTAACTGTGTTTGGAAGTTCTCCTTTAAACTCTTCACCGCACGCTGAGCAATATTGCTGATGAAAATACCGCCAATATACTGCACACCACATCTGCAACAAGAGAAAAGGAAATTATAGCAACATTTCCATCAGTGAAGTGTCTTAAATCGCCCCCATTCAAAACATTCATAAACTTACTTTACAAGCATCGTTCAAGTAAGAACCGTTTTGTAAAGGACCCAGAGAAATTATAAATAAATATAATATACAGTGCTTTTCTTTAATGTCCCCCTCCCCTTTGATTTTTTGAACGGATCAATTCAAAAATTAAAACTTGAGGTAATGAAATTGTGCGTGGATACCATATTTCAGAGTAAAATTGACAGATCAAAATGTCAAGAAGGCGCTATTTGAAGGAAAAGGTGTACGGCACTGAACCTGCTTCAATATTGGATGTACGGCTGAGAATAACAAATATTATTGTAGAAATATCGACGTTACTATGTTTAAAAATGTTCGACGCGAAATTACGGACCGGCTGTTATTGTGTCAAGAAGTTCAAGGTAACCATTTCCAGCATCTTCTAAACTGAACTCAACGTATGCATTCGAATTATTGAAAAGTTAAATGTCAATGTATTCAGGTAATTATTAAATGCACCACCATTTTGTAGTAGGTAAAGGTATTGCCTTTATATTCTAGGGTTATAAAGTACTCGTCAAAAGCTTCAAGATGATATGCCACAAGACCCCCGTTTTCATATAATTTTTTTCCAATCCATCTTGACATTTTCATCTGTCAATTTTACTCTAATTTTTTTGAATTGATCCGTTCAAAAAATCAAAGGGGAGGGGGACATTAAAGAAAAGCACTGTGTAATATAAATAAAAATATATTTTTCCAACATTCGTGTGAGACAAAAATAGCTAAATCAACCGGCCAACTCAATGGGTGGCAATATAAAATTGTATTAAAAAACGAATTTGATCGCACTATATCACAGTACTGATAATCACATTATGAAGTTTAATTACAAATTTTCTTGGAATGAGCTGGACTATATTTACGCGGAATATGCCATGAAGGAAATCAGATATTTCAATCAGGTACATGTCAATATGGCTCATAGGAAATTGAAAAAATTCTATTTCCTACACGCCTTTATACATACACCTGAAGGTGAACCCATGCATAAACTCTGAAAAATCCGACGACCTCAGTTTATCCACCGTACATTCCATTAGTGAATATTTTTCACAAAGACGAAGCCTCGTTGCTACGTACCATATTAGATCTTCTGTATTTTGAGACATCTTGATGAAATTGCCGCCGATTTAGAAACTGAACGCGATGACAACAAACCATTTTCCAATGTTCAAGAACAGACAATGCCTGACATCCAGGAGACGAGGGAACTAAACTGAATCCAAATTTAAGATGAGATGTAAATAATAACAGTTGGCGCGTGATCTCTCGGCAACAGGTGGGGACAACGACTCTTATTGGTCAATTCGCCATTAAATTTCAAGCGGTCGCCTGGCGGAATAATGCGCGGGGCAGGGGCAGGGCAGGCAGAATTGCACTCAGGCCACCGTCCGTCGCGTGTATCACTGCGTGCTCGTGTTTTCGTATTTACCTTGCTTGGTTGTTGCTGTTGTTGTTGTTAAGTGTATTTGAGTAATTTGTTAAGTTTCTGTTAAATACTGTCATCTTTGTTTTACAACACGTTGGTGGTAGTCCATCATTCGGAGGTATCCTTGAATGCGGCCCTGTACGCCGTCCTTGCTTTTGGCAATCACGCATCCATTCTATCTTGGGTGTAAATACACTATACATTGTTTGCCTTATTATACGGATCCTCTCCAACCCACTTTTCCAACATCATTGTACAGAGGCCCAACCATGTACAGCTGCTCCATGCTAATTGGCAACGGTCCAGGCTTGGTCTCTAGGTAGGACACGAATGGAATCACAGCAAAGTATCCTCTATCGGACGTATCAGGTCTATCCAAATACCATCACACGAGTGCCAGCTATCACATATCACATGTTTTGCATTCGAATCGATCAAGTAACCATCACATAAGCTTTCTTCATGTTTTAAAATGTTTATTCTGCCAGTAAATTTTATAATACACGGAAGATTAAGATTCAGACAAAAATGAATCATTAAGAAATACTTACCGGTAAACTTTTGTTTGAGATGTGGAGATGAATTAGTGAATATCCCACCCTTCAGATCCGTTTCTGAACTAGACTTCTGTTCCGATTTGTCGATTTCGTTGAGATTTGATTGGTATTTGGAACCTGTAACAAAGGATTAACGTTAATTACATGAAGGTATATTGACAAGTTGCTAGTTTTTTACAAGTGGCAAGTGACCTTCTAGATACTGTATTTGTTTTTGTTTCAAAGGTTCTCACTTTCTGTATATTTACAATGTTGACTGTCCTAGTGATACCACAGATAATTTTTGCTAATTAAATATGCGAATACATTTTTTCGGTTTCAATACGCTAAAGCAATTAACATCGCAAATGCAGCATCAATAATTAACCACCGTTACGTCATTATTGAACTGGCACACCAGACTGACCAACGCTCTTCGGGAATACACGTTCAACAATCATTAATTGTATTTAATATTAATTGTAACGAAATGTGCCATAATCTTTTTAGTTGCAAGTATTTGGAGGGGTACGTTCGAGGCAAAAAATAACAGCGTTTAAAAAGGCCTTGAATTTTTTAACGGGTCAATTCAGCGAGTTGAAATTCGAGATTATGAAATAAGTTTATAGCGCAAAAGTGACAGTTGAAAAAAAGAATCAAGGACTTAGTTCATCACAAGCTAAACCCTTTTGGAAAAAAATAGGTAAGAACATGTTCAACAGAGAAATTAAATGTTTCAAACAAGCCAAACAATTAGTCCATAGACATTCTCTCCTCTCTCCCTATCGCGGCACCGCTTTAGTGTGAGTAGACTAACCAACCAGCAGAAGGAGGTGCGTGTCGAAAATATCTCTATCTTTTCTTAATCTGTATCATTTTTATCCACAAATGTACCGGGAGCGAATATAGATAGTAACATGATGTAATGATGTGCCAATCATATGCTACGTCCATGTCCAGCCTACCACATAAAGGTAAACACAGTGTATAACAACCGTATTCATTTGGGCTAAACGTAAGCCAATAGATGTGCAGGTATCCGCTTCAGTTACCATCCGACAGAATTGCTCTTTTGTGCCAGATAAATTGGGCACGACGCGTGGTGGCTGGCGACGCGGCAAAATTCGACATTTGTTTTTCAAGCTCTTTTCTGTATGGTTGCCGTTCTCTACTGTTGGAAATATTAGTAATGTTCCAGCATCACATTTCCAACCGCTTGACACCCGATTGTGTGTGTCACTAGTTTTAAACGATTTCGAATTCGATTCGGTCAGAACGCATTTTTCTGTCAAAATACGTTTGAGTTGTCAGTGACATTTTTAGGCCTTTGAATGAAAGTTCCAGATATACTGATTAAGAACTTGATTAAACGTCTTATTATGCAGAATAAACAACCAATCGTTATTTCAAATCTCTGCTACATGATACTTTTTTTTGAAATGATGTTTCATGTCTTGCGAACCACAAAAAGATGAGTTTTTAAAAATCAGACATTATGTTATATGTCGTGTACATCACGAAAAACCATGTCACTCATTTCTGTTGGTCTGTCTGTGTTGGACTGTCTGTCCACTTACGTGGAAAGTATCGGTCGGGTTTTGATGAAATTTTCGCACCAAATTATTACTGTGCCAAGCGCGAAAAGGCGTTGTACTTTTTGGATATTGGTCCAGTGGCGACGGAGACTAAGCCCAAAAACTAAAAGAATAAACATTTTTAGATGCTCCCGAATATTTTCGGAAGCACGAGTGATATACAGGGTGTCCCGAAAAAAGTGTGCAATATTCTACCAGCGGTTTCTAGAGCCTAAAATAGGAAGACAAGTTTATATAAACATAGGTCGACAAACGTCCCCTAAGGGCGCTATGGTCTTTTAAAGGGGCTCCCCTGACGATATTGTTTCCTTAATATTTCCGAAACGTGTTGAGATAAAGACATAACATTTGGTATTCTAGCCTAGGTTTTTATTCTGGATTTAAAAATATTAACAATTTTAGACAGTTTTGTTTGGAAGCGTATATAACGTTTGTCGACCTATATTTATATAAACTTTTCTTCCTATTTTAAGCTCTAGAAACCGCTGGTAGAATATTGCACAATTTTTTCGGGACACCCTGTATATATATACATATATAATGTTGGACCAGCGAAAGATTGCAAGCCGAAAGAATGCGGACAAAAAATTGCGAAGTTGTCAGATGTTCTACATAAAATGCGGTCCATACATATTAACATATTTAAGATATAGAATTGTTCCGCTGAATTTGGCAATGTAGCTGGAAAACCCAGGCCGCAGGTAAACATCCGGTCGCTGATTGGTCCAAAACTCTTATCTTATCTGAAACTAGAATAACGTGCCGATGGCACGGTCATTTATAAACCTACTCCCATAGGCGTAGGCAGTTGGCAAATACTTTGAAAATATAATTTACTGTTTAGTGGTGATAATGGAATTCAAGCATGGGAAAGTTATTCACAGCCAGGCAAGGGAAATAATAGCAAACGTGATACGTGCTTGCGATGCAGAAGCGGCTAACAATACTTTCGTTTATCCACTGGTAGCTAGAAATGCAAGGGCGGCATATTATACGGGTGTTAGTGAACGAACTATAAGTAAAATTAGAAAAGAAGATAAAGACAGGCAAAATGCAACCTCCACACAGCCTTTAGCTTCTCCCGGAAAAAAGAGATCACGCCCTTCTGTGATCCAAAAAATTGATGGAGTCGATTTTTCCATTATTCGGAGAATGATAGAAAAATTTTACTGTGATTTTAAAGTGGTACCTACTTGTAGTAAACTTCTAATCAAACTGAAGGAAGAAATGGAATTTCCATTTGGTAAAGAATCGTTGAGGCTGCTTTTAAAAGCAAAAGGATTTTACTGGCGTAAATGCCACAACAAAAGGAAATTACTAATGGAAAGACCCAGTATTTTACATTGGCGATACAAGTATCTTAGGTCTATTAAAAAGTTCCGGGAAGAAGGAAGGCATATTATTTATTTGGACGAAACTTGGGTTGATAATGACCTCACTTTCAAGAAATGCTGGCAAAGCGAAGAAATTATGGGTGTCCTGAGCAATATAAGTTCTACAGGTAATAAAGTTTCTTTCACCTCGATTTTGCTTATTATACATTTTTCTCAATTTTGGAATATTCTTAATAAGTGCTCATTTAATTTGTCTAATTGAATACATAATCCCTTGCAAGTATTTTTTTCTCAAAAATATGTTTTTTATACATAGTGATTCAAAAAGGTGTTGGCAAACTTAAAATAACACTAAAATGAGGCTATTTATTCATTTCCAGGACGACTTATAATTGTTCATGCGGGTTCGCAAGATGGTTTTGTTCCTGGAGCCTGTCTCATTTTCAAGGCTGGCTGTGCCACTGGTGATTATCACGGTCAAATGAACCAAGAAAATTTCACGAAGTGGCTTACTGAAAAACTATTTCCTAACATTCCTCCTAATAGTATTATAATAATGGATAATGCACCTTACCATTCAGCTTTGGAAGACAAGCCTCCAACTAGATCTTCTCTAAAAAGAGACATCATCACGTGGTTGAGCAAAAAAGGTATAGAGCATGATCCTAATGCTAAAAAAATGGAGCTTTATGAAATAGCTTGTCTACATAGGCCACCATCTGATGAGAAAAATTATAAGATAGATAATTTAATAAGAAGTTTCGGACACACCCCACTTCGAACGCCACCCTATATGTGTCAGTTTAATCCCATAGAGATGATTTGGGCACAAGTAAAATTTTTCATTAGAAGCCATAATACAAGCGGCGAATTTACTATAAAAAAACTAGATGAAATTTCTAATAAGGCCATCGCTTCAGTAAGTGCCAGTGACTGGCAAAAGGTTATTGGACATGTTATAAAAATTGAAGATGAATATTGGGAAAAAGACAGTCTCATTCAAGAAATACAGGAAGAAATAATAATCAACATAGGAGGTGAAAGTGATAGCAATGACAGTTCCTCAGACAGTGATCATGACTCTAATCAGGATTGAAACTATACTAGATTGGCTACCTTTTAGAATTTTTAGATATTCATTTATTATACTATTGGTTTGTGGCTTTTAGTATCTCAGTAGAAAGTCTAATTCTATGTGTTGTTTATGGGTTATTTCATCAAGAAATTACTTTTTGTTTTCCTATATTTTTCTATTCAGTCAGATATTTTTGACTTGTTGTATTCTATTTTAGAAGAATGCATAATTTGTTTTGCTGTTCAATCATAATGCGTACATAGGAATATTACTTGTTGCCTAAAAAATATATTTATTTTGTTCTCAATATTCAGTGTTTGTGTATATTTATTTCTTATAATGTATGTTTGGTATCACGTCATTATGAATCGCAAAAAAATATTAATACTACCAGTTGTAATAAAATATAAATTCAATTAATAATTCAAGTCTCTCCGATCTCCGCCTATGACTCCATATAAAATCGTCTAATGGTAAGGTTTTTTCATCGCATTTCCCCCTTTCGTCCCTAGCAATCTTTGGCTGGTCGATCTATAGACATAGCGTGCATCGTGTTTGTCTCCAAGTGGTACATTATTTGTCTACCTCAATTCGTCTGACCAATGTACATTGAAGTAGATACCCCAAGAGGAAATTCATCATCTGATTAGAAGTATGCCCAGATGCGTTTCTGGATGCATAAGACATCGGGGAGGCCCAAAAAAAATGTAATTTTTTTTCATCTTTTCAATAGTTGGATTTTGATCAAATACTTAACTTACTCTGAGAGACATGTATACAAAAATTTGTTGTAATAAATTCATTGGTGCTGGGTGTTTTTTTATTTGGTTAATCAGTGATGGGAAATTACCGTTACGCCACTGATGACTAGTAGAAACATGATTTCCGGTTACTGAATTGGATGTTTTCCCTGAAATTGTAAATAAATATGCGCATAGATACCCAGCAGCGCATGTGAAGTTATAACGCAAATAGAAATAACGCCATGCATACATTGCCTTGATCCTCTCCACATATACATAGCTAAGGTTGTTCTACTTCGTGATTAACAAAAACTGACCTATGACTTGCCACTCGGTATTTACGGTTATACAGTGCTTTTCAAAAATGTCCCTCCTACCTATTCTCAGGTGGTATTGATGCAGGAATACTATCGGTTATTTCCGGAATTTCTTCATCAAAGTGTGTATTTTTTATCAGCTTTTAGTGGTGAAAACCCTAATCACGACTATTAAAAAAATTGCGTCAAGTAAGTTGACTCTCAACTACCAACACAATGCGATTATCAGTACATAAATGATTATGTTCTGCACAAACTAGACCCTCTGAGAAAAAGTAAGTCAAACAGGTCCATCCTATTAGTCCATAGACATAGACATTATTTCAGAACGGCGGCCGAAAATACCTATTATTTTTGTTTTCAAGGTTAATGCACAGAGAAATCTATGATGTGTGAAATATGTCTGATAGGCGTGAGAATTACTAAGGTTGGGAGGATAAACCGCCCCCATCCCCCTACTCTAAAATTTTTTCAAAAATGATCAGTATCATCTGAAACGTCAAACAATGAAGTTTTCATTTTTTCCATTTCAGGCCTTTTGCTCTGTTTCCACTGGACCGATTTTCAAAAACTAAAAAAGTTTTTTGCGTCCTTGGCATGGAATTAACATTGTGTAAAAATTTCATAGAAATATACAAAATGAAATTTGAACGCCTTTAGTATTTTTCACATCACCGTCTCCATGATTACAAATAACAGAACGATGGCTTGTAATATGCTTGTAATATCCTGCGAATAGTACTCTGTAATAAAATCCCAGTAGCATCATCTTGCAAAGGTGTAAGGAAGTGCATATAAAACCAAATGTACATACCAATAACAGTGAAAGCGGAAAATAGATTTTAAGTCGTATGCAGTTGCATGCAATCTGAAAACTATAGAGAAAGCGCTGAGAGAAGTGGAATGGTATATGAGAGTATATCAGCGTACCGGACGTATATTTGCTATATATACTTTGAAAAGGTTAGCGTTTCATAGATGCCGCTGTAGTCTTGTATATGCTGATTAATAAATGAGTGAATGACGAAATTAGAGGCATATCGGCTTCCATGACGATCCAGTGTATAGACCGCGTAAACGGGCTCTTATGCACACCTACATTCCCTAAGCCTCAAGCTACGCCGTTCTAGCATAGTTGCGTATAGTCTTGGATAATTTTTTTGGACGCTCGACTAGAATGCTTTAATGAATGATGTGACCTAAAGAACTAGGAAGCACATCGTTAATATAGCATTTAATCAGGCATCATTATCATGACCTGAAATTTCATCCTACTAATTTGACCTGTCCCAAAAATAAGTGACAGGGACCTTTTTGAAAAGAACTGTTAATCCTAATGTGACGAAATTTTGTCTAGAAAAATCTTGCAAGATGACTCATTGACCAATATTTAGCTAATACCTACTGACAAAATGAGGTAATCATAATAGTGAATTCTCCCAGCGCCCGTATTAAAGATGTTTGGTCCACTCTATTATAAACTAAGAGACTATGACAACAAAAACAAAAAACATGCAGTCAAAAAAGCTGATTGCCAATGGAAATTTACTCTGGATTTTGAGTGCTGAGAGATGGTATCACTTTAAAAGCACTGAACTTTCCTAACTTATAATAAATCATCTATTATGTATCCATCGATGAAAGAGACCAAACCTAAACATATTCACGTATACTCCACGTGATCAAGCTCGAGAACGCCGAGTACGTTACAGGGCCGTACTAAGAATAAATGATTTGTGGTTCTACGAAAAGTATGCAAAATTATTGCAGGCATGTAAAGGGTCCAAACGTAAAGCCTGGAATTAATGTATTTTTTTAATTTAACTGTCAGACCAAAAAAAAAACAACTGTCTATTGTTGTTTTTAGTAGAAGATTTTATAAAGAAATTATACTCGAAATGTGTCGTAAGGCGCATTTATAAAGAAGGCTTTTAAAAAATGTCTTGACACATTAAAACGATAATTGCATATGCATACAGTCTACCTAACCACCGCTTGAATACGGACGTCAGTGTGCAAACAGTTAATTTTAATATTAGACTACAAAATGAATAGTTAGGTGGAGATGAAAGGAAAAGGATTTGAATACATAATAATATATACTAAATATTAATCAAAAATTTATTGCACATACATTTTACCTCTAAAACCGGAAATACACGTATTTGAAAATGGAAATCATTCCAGATCTGAGGTCGTGGAGCTCCCACTGTCATCAAGATTTATGATTGAAGGGGCAACGTGAGTATCAATGATACCGTCTAATACATTTTAGGTTCGACCTTTTCTTTCACATGCTGATACATTTTCCCACTTATTCGGTGTTATTCTTTGTAGCATAGCATCATGAAAAATATTTAGGGTTAGAAAATTTAAAACATTTATTTTCTGTTGCAACATATTTTTTTTTGTCTGCCCAAATGAGCTCAATCGGATTGAGCAATCGTAAAACAGTTTTATTTTGTTTTTTGGCCCTTTCATCAATTATGTTCAGGTTATATTTATTTTTATGCGTCTTGACAATTTGTAACAATTCTGCCTTAACCGTTGTATCATCATAATCAATCTTTTTATTTTTAGGTGACAACAGGTAGTACGCTTAATTCTAGATGATGCACAAAAACAAAAATAACATGCATGTATACGTAGCAGATGTTCAAAATGCTCGTTGCTGGTGTCTTTCATTTTTATGTGTTGTGATGGGTTCGGCCATTCAGGTTATTTTATTCATTTGGATATTGATGTTTGCAGTGAATTTAGAAATAACAAAGCAGTTGACATACAGAATACAGTAAAAAAGCCTTTGTGTTCTATTTAAAGATTCTCGGGTATGCAACCCTTATTCTGAGGGTGTTAAGTTTGACGATGACAAGTTTTACTTCGTTCTGGCATTATCTTTTTCTCTCGCTGCGCCCAATGATTGTTTAGGTTTCTTCTTTAGTCAAAAATATGTAGGGATAAGAAAATATCCAGAAATATCGAATATTCAAAATTGAGGTTCACGTTTGCTTTCATGAGTTTTACATTATGCTTTGACAAATCGTAGGTTGACCTTTTCTCATTTGTATAGCAATGTCATTTATTTCGTAGAATATGCCGCGACATATTGTCGTGCTAAGCCCCTGAAACTGAGAAAAAAACATCCAAAGTTTGAGCCTTTGAATCTCGTTTAGCTTTAAATCAATAAATCTTCAAAACTACTGAACTAAAGTACATTAATATTATATCATTATAAAGGGAATTGAAAGACCTTTAAAATAAGGTATTGACCCCCTTTCCATTTAAGATTTTGGGGGTGGTATCGACGGGTCTGAGCGTGTTTCCAAAAAAAAAAAACTGAGCTGTCAGTAAATGCGTCTGTTTGGTTTGCGATGCGCCTTCCTGTGTATGAGGTTTTATTTGTCCAGGAAAACTTGGATTAGTTTCAGAAAATTAACGAATTTATTTTTAGAAAAAATCTATAAATGATCAAATGAAAACTGTCGGTATCTCCCTGTCTATCAGGCTAGTAAAGTCTTCCCCTATCCAACGATATTTCTGTATATTCGAGCTCATAAAAGTTACTACACAACCAATATTGCATTGTTTGTGGCTTTTGGCGATATTTCAGGCTATAAAACGGTGGTTGGTCTATTTTGCAGTAGATAAACAGGATGTCTTATCTGTTGGGTCAATCATTTCGTTTATCCCCGTTCACTAAGATAATACAGGGTGTGAACTAATTTTGTGCTGATACAAAAATACCCAGTTTCCTGACCTAGTTATTGGCAACACCATTTAACTAAGTCCAAGTGGAACAAATCAACGTCTTTATCCGTATCATATACTGAGTGACATAGAAAAAAGAACACTCATTAATAATGGATTTATTGCAACAATTTTTCATACATGTCTCTTAGGATAACTGATTGATATCAAAATTTCCGTCCGTGTTCTTTTTTCTGTCAGTGTATTATTCTGGGGGATCTATATTAGGAATATGCGTACAACTACCGTGGTTATGACATGAAATAACACTAATAACAACAACAAAAGAGAACTAAGTCTACAGTGCGATACCTTTATCAGCAAGATGATGTATCGTGAGAGAAGAAGGGTTTCCGTTATTGGTATTGTTGATTTCACCGGTCATTGTGGCCAGAGATTCTCGGGATCTGGTGAGCCCAGGCCCGGTGGACGTGCTGGTCGGTTTCGGTGTTGTGGTTGGAGGCGATGAAGCTGCGACAAAAACATGTGTAAATTTGTCGCGACTTAAAGGAAACTGTGTTGTATATAGCCCAAAACGAACCTTTCATAAATTAAAGCGACTATTGATCTGATAGATTTGTTATCATAATTACGTTTGTTGGATGCACTTTAAGATGAATCAAGAGGCTGCCAGGTTTTAAGCCGGTGGAAAGAATCCCGCACAAAACATATGGAAAATGCGTTCCAGACGATTTGTCAAAAAATTCAGTATAATACAGGGTCCTTCAGAAAGAACGCAAATGAAAATGTGCTTGATCACCCATAAACAACGTCATGTCATTATTATCCAACTGTTCAATCATGAGCTGTGCAAAATTAACACGTTGTGCATAATCCCCTGGCAACTGTTGTTGACAAACTTGGATTTTTTAAGGATGGAACACTAAATCCTTCTTAACGATGCGACGTACAGAGGACGCGTGGATCCCTAGGGAACTGGCACGCAAACGGACTGAACGATTCGGGCTTTGCAGCTTGTCAACTCTCACTCTGCCTACGTTTTCGGGGGTTCTAACAGTACGGTTTCGCCCTGGCTTTTTTTTTCATCACATTTACCTGTTGTGTTGAATGCTTCCACCCCTCTCGAAATTGTGTTACGGCCTGGTACTGTCCCACGACGTGGAGCACGAAAAGTGAACGCGAAACTCACGTTGCGGTCGAACGACAGACTCGCCATTTTGAAAGTAACGACGTATAGTGTACACACAATGCTCAACGATCCAAACCGTCTTGTCAACTGAAACGACACTTCTCAAACCATCCAACACGCCCTTCCCCACTGACACGGGACCAGCCCATTAGATGTAGTACCCATTGGAAAAACATGCGTTCTTTCTGACGGACCCTGTATATTCCTCGCCTTCCTGAACAAATGTTTTCATGGGACTAAAGCAGTCCTATGACTAGTTTTTGAGAAATAGGGGGATTAGGTTTGCAGAAGTTGATAAAATGAAGATGTGCTGATTGTAGTTCTTTTCTTAGGCCAAAAACTCGGAAAATCGTTACGCTAAAAGGAATATTTCATTAAAACACATTGTAGGAAGGTTTTGGGAAGTGTCATGCTGATAACCATAATCCTTACAAGGTCAATTTTAGAGCAAGTTGATTTTTATGCTTGTGCGCTTTCCCCGTCACCTTCAAAATAATCATGACATTGACAAGACCTTGTAAAGGCAGAATCAGAGACTAACGGTTTATTGGTACAGTGGTCGGTAACTGTATCTGGGATACGGCCGAGTGAATTCCATCTATTTATCGTAACATGGTGTACGTACATGACTAAAGAAATAACAGGGATCTTTCTGTGCCCCTATCCTATTAAGCAAACTAGTAACATAGCTTTCGTCCGTCCGAACACAGACGATCAGCCATGGACAGGTGCTTAGTGTTTTTTGGCAACTCATCAGCATGCTCTAGGTTTGGTCTCAGGTAGGGCGACGAGCGGCAGTTGAGCAAATATCAAGTATCCAAGATATAAGGTCCGAACCGACTACTGAAACAGCAAGCTTCTGTTGGAATTGTATCCCAGTTTACATTTGGCGACAGATGCCGCCACTTCTGGCGATACAAAAATGAGGAATATAAGTACCCGTATTGTATTTTTATCACAATCCCCTGCATATGTGTTAATAAGAATGACTTTTCTCGAACTGTCAAACGACTAAAATTATATTTAACAAGTACCAACCTCTCGATTCATGTTAGTGTACATCGAACAAACATGAGTGTGAAAAAAAAATTTGTCGGAAAATTTCGCCCACGAATGCAAGGTTTTTGCCTTGTCTATGAGATATGAGCATGCAAACAAAATATGGGCGCCCTCTATGGCCAGCGAGAGAAGGTCGAAAACCAATAAACCCAATCTTAATATTACCCTCATTACTGTTGTCAATATTCAACTTTGGTCATCAAAACATATCGAGTAAGTGGATGCTTAGGTATACAGGGTGATCCAGAAAATTGTGGTAATAATTTAGGGCTAGAAAGTGAGTCCAAAAATAACACGAACGTCTCAAAAATATATATTGCACTGTTTCCTAAATCACCCTGTATATTCACCCTGTAAAATAGAATAACTTATCGTATGCCACAGCCATTTTGATACTAGTATGACTATCTTCTCCAATACTTTCGATAAGAAATATAAGACACTTATAGGTCTAAGATCGGCATGTTCAGATGGATTATTATTTTTGGCCAAAGGCAATCGTTTTCTTTACCAGTTACCTATAATAGCTTAAGTTTGCAGAGCTTCAAGAAGACAGTCAAGTCGCATTTCCTGGGCTCAGCACATTAGTGATACACTCCGTTTGCCGAATTGTTTTAATAGGTCCGTTCTATTCTACCTGATTGATGTTGTTATCCAAATGTCTTTTGTGATATCCCGTTGCAGTCATGCTTTTATATCAGTTTTTGACATCATTATTGTTATTACTATCATGCGTGTGGAATATCAACTTAATCAAGTTTGTTGTCTAGTTCTACCGCACTATTACAGAAGATGAGGTTGCGTGTCACGTAGCCACATCATGCGGTGATTTCCCCAATTATCGGGGAATACAATTGACAAAAGCCCGTGTGCACTTTTATGTTTCCATAGCACCACTCGATTTGTTAGTTTATCAATCACTTCCAATGGTACAACGGAATTACTAACCATGCACTATGCGAGACGGACTAATTAGCGGAGCCGCTATGGCCGAATTTCAAAATGGGGTGAACCTAGCAGCAATAAGGGGAACTACACGGAGAAAATACATGGGTGAGGGAAATATTTTGAAAATTATTCATCCGTTTCTTGGACTATCACCTTCTTGTACTCACTGATTCGCAAAAATTTTGATAAAATGTCTGTGGTCCATTTATTTTTAGTAAAGGTTGCCGTGATGTCTGAGAGAAAAAAATAAAGGCCAAAATTAACCATTGTCGTTAAGCATATACGAGCCCTTTCCCACTTGTTTAAAATATTAACAATGAACGTTTTGATAATATATAGTAGAAAACACCGACTTTATCACTCCCTAATCAAATTTGCAGCTGTTGGAAGGAGAAAAATCGAGGTCCACAACTCATAGAGAGGCCCACAAACTGGGAGTTAGCACCTGCAAGGTTAGTTTTCTTATAAAAAAAGTGAAGTAAAAACCCTAAAGTTGCACAACTTGTTTATATGCCAAAGAAAAGCCACTATTAACTCCACTGCGAAAGAAAAATCGGCTTAGATGGGCTAAAGAACATAGACAATGGACACTCAACAATGGAGTGATGAGGCCCGATTCGAAGTTTGTGTTGGTGACAGTCGCAGGAGAGTTATTCGCAAAAAAATGAAGCATTCCATGTTTACTGTCTGAAGAGAAACGTGAAATTTCCAGCACCCATTATGGTCTGGGGCAGTATGTCGTCAAAAGGAGTAAGAAAACTTCATTTTATTGATGGAAATGTGGATACAAACAAATTTTTGGCAATTTTAGAAGAATCGTATTTACCAGTGATGGAAGAATGTTTGACATCCGGCCAAGATTTTGTGTTTCAGCAAGATGGTGCAGCGTGCCATACCTCAAAAAGGGCTATAAAATGGATGGAAGAAAATAATGTACCACATTTGAAATGGGTTTCTAGCAGTCCAGATCTGTCACGTATTGAAACTTTGTGGCACGAGATGAAAAAGGTTCTACGACAACATCCTGCTCGTACAATCACCCAACTGAGACAAAGGCTTCAAGAAATATGGGATTGTTTTACACCAAATTTTTGCCAAAACTTGGTTAACACTATGCCCCAAAGAATTTCATCCGTAATAAAAAATAATGGTGATGTTACCCAATGGTAATCTTTCAATTGTTGCTTTGTTAACTTCCCGCATTTATTCGCACATTGTTTATTTGTTCAGATGTTCTATTAGTTATGGGTCCAAGTGATTTCAAATATGTATTTTTTACGACTAGAGTGTATCTAAAATGTTTTTGAGAAAATAAATTGTTTTAGAAGTAAATAGTTTCGTCATGTTTAGTTTAGAAAGGCATATTTTGGCATAAATCTTGAAGTGGGCCAACTGAAGTGGGAAGGGGCTCGTAATTGATGCCATTTTGATGAATCACAAGTTTAATATCTAATAACTTTCATCCGTATCAATTATTTTTGAACAAATGTTTTTCTAAAAACTCACTGAACAAACTGAAAACTGGATAAAAGCTCCAATCGAATGGACTGTGCACTACTAATTAAATAAAACAATATTTTGTGATCGATAAACACGTGCGAGATGTCAAGTTCAAAATGATATAGTAGTGAAAGTCAATTAAGCAAAAGACACGTATTTTCATCGGCCATTTTTATTCATAGAGTTAAGTGACAAAGGTAACAATACTCTGTTAGAGATGGGCCATCGATTAGTCGCTCAGCCCTCCTCTTAATAGCATCGAGTATGGATAATGTAGTTGGGGCAGCTGCATCCCAAACATGTGAGCAGTATTCGAGTACTTCTTAGCCCTGAACAAATAGCCTAGCAGCTGCCGCTATTGACGAGATGTGTTCGTGCCAGACGAAGTTCTCGGCGATCTGGACTCCGACTAGCCGAAGTGATCGGCTTTTTGGTAGAACTCAACCATCCAACGAAACCGGATGGGCGCTAGAATGTTTCTTGTTCGTTAGATTTATTACTGCTAGTCTATCGTACTTCACTTCCTATTATTCCACTCTTAAAACCAATCAACGTCTAACCGCTACTACTTCACTTACTCTGTAGTAATTATCTTATTTATTCCGTTTTAATCTACGTTCGTCAGCACAAGAACCACATATACGGCTTAGCACACACGAGAGATCGATCTAGGAAGTAACTTGGCGATAAATACGTCCTTTCAAATGCCGAGATGGCCTCAGTTCAGTGTAAATTCAGTGAAGCGTCCGCAAAAAATCGCCCTTTTTATGGCGGTAATAATAAAGTAAAAATATACGGGCTTACCAAAGCTCTG